TCGACTCGCCAACTTGAAAACCAATCGACTTTGTTGTTTTTTAAGGTAACAATACGGTCGAGTTGTGCCAGGCTTTTATATTTTCCCCTCTATGGAGAAATACCTGGCTGGCCCTGACTCAAAACGACTAAACTCGATTGGCGGGGGCTCTCGTGGTCTAGAGGTAAAGGTGTTTGCTATCATTCATTAGGTCCCGGGTTCGAATCCGGATAACTACCGAAAATGTTTTTCTTTAAAGTTTTCTCCTTTCACATCCTTTCCTGCTCTCTAACCGTGTTCTGTCGTCTGCTTTCATCTTTACCTTCTCCCCTCACCTCCTTTGCCTCCTCCTCTGGGCTCCTGGCTCTTTTTGCAGCCTTTCTACTGCTACTCCTTGGCTCCTTACCGCTGTTTTGCAGCCACACCCCTGATCTTATGGTAGGAAAGATCTACACCTAGCCCTCTCGGACAAGGGCGAAAAATCTCGGAGGTCCAGTGTGTAAGTTGCGCACGTTAAAGATCCCTTGGTGGTCCAATATCGATAAAAAGTAGGCTTCGGCCACCACCCGGACAAAATTCAAAATTTTTTACAAACAGAAAAGGTTTAATGTGCCCAGCGCGCTCATATGTCCTTATGCATTTGCCGTAAAACGCTTTAAAAAAAAAAGAAAAAAAAAGAAAAAACGAGAAAAATTAACTCGATTGACAGTTTGCACTGAGTATAAATGTTTGTTGTCCAATCTCAATTAATCCATCAATGTATAATTAACGAGCTACCCGCGTGTATTTAGCACTGCAGCCTAGAACTAAGGGTTTAGACCACCATGCACTGTTTCTGCCGACCGCCATTACAGTGGACACTAATAGATGACAGGCTTTCTGTCACTACACTTTGGAACAGATCTGCTAAACGAAAGAAAAATTCCTTATTGATCCATGTTGACAATACATGAATAATTCACGATAATCACAGACGTGGACAAACTCCAATGGGAGAACATCAGAACCGCGCTCTTTTGAAGAAAAAACGATCAAAGCAGTGAACTAGCCGCTCACTTTTTGACAATATCGATACAATTAGATTGCCAGTTATCACAACCAATACCACCAAGCACTAAGTTCCCCCTGCGTTAAATAAGCTTAAACCTGTCATCACCAAATTTAGAAACAACCATAAATTCATAAAACCTTTCAGCTTTAGGGAGTCCTTGTATGAGGACCTTGAAAAATTCGATTTCTCCAAAAAAGAAGGACACAAACAAGGTTATATCCCCCGACCTTCTCTCCCTGTCATCTCACAGTGGCAATATTAGGCTTAGAACTCGCTACACGCAAACAAAATCACAAAAACATCTGCATACAGAACTTATTTACTTCTTACTCTCTCCATATACCGTCAGGTACATAAGACAGAGAGCTGTCGACGCCACGATTGCCCGTCCCTGGCCACGTTCTCCAATTTGGGCAAATCTAAGCCCTGGGGGATTGTCACATCCCTTCTTCTGCCTCGATAGCTTCCTCGTTTTCTTTTTCCAGTTGGCTTCCAATACCATGTATTAAATGGCAATCTGGTCTTTGACATACTTAGAACATGTTCTGTGTATCTCTATCTTCTCCTAATTATGGCGTCGGTGGCCTAGTGTTTAGGCTCTCGGACTCGCAACCGTAAGGTCATGGGTTCGAATCCAGTCAGGGGCCCAATATTGTGTCCTTGGGAAAGGCACTTTGCACAAATTTTCCTCACTTCACCCACGTGGAAATGGGTACCCGGCTATAGACCATGAACGATCTTGTCAGTTTGGTAGTGTTTGAGCGCGTGGAATCCGCAGCTTGCACTGTATGCTTCCGCGGAAGCCGAGAATGTTTCTGAGTGTTCTCAGAGGGTCTGCTGGTGTAATAATGGTTGTAAAGCGCATAGAGCATGCTCTTGAGCGTGGATATGCGCTATATAAATGCAATTATTATTATTATTATTATTATGGTTGCATTTATATCTTCAAAACACTCGTAAAAAATTCCCCTATGCAGAACAAATCTTTTCAGATGACTCTGCCCGCCTGCCCGCCTGCCCGCCTGCCCGAAAAAAATACTTTCTAATCCTGTTCAATTCTTTGTCACGCCTCATCTCACTCATCAATCATACAATCTTACTTACCTTTACTTTTACTTTTTTCTTCCGCTTGTACCCTGGGGTGTCGCGGGGAGACACAGGTGTCTGTCTGCAGCAAGTCGTGTGGCCTGTAGGAGGGACATCCCATGATCTTTAAGGGTGTCTGCCACAGATTCACCCCATCGTCGCCTTGGTCTTCCTCTGGCTCTCCATCCAGAATATTTAGTGTTGTATGCTCTCAGAGCAGGATGGTTAGAGGGCATCCGCGTGAGGTGTCGTCCGAACCACTTGACCTTTTGTTTTTCAACGTGTGGTAGGACTGGTGTTGCTCCCACGGTGTCCCTTATGACTTCATTTTTAATTTTGTCTCTTCTTGTTTTGTTGACCGCTCTTCTTAAGCATTTCATCTCGCATGTGACCAGTTTCACAATCTTACACCCAGAAATATGTAAGCTGCCGTTGAGGATATAGGGGGGAAAGCATCGTTTTTGCATGGCTGCCTAGCCTTGTGAGTTGTGAGCATTCGAGGAAACGAGCCGGTCGATCTACTATATAGCGAAGGAAACGTGTACCTTCATTTTAGGATCAACGGAGAGCACCATCCTATAGACAGACCTTTTTGGAGAGTGTAGGGAGGGGGGGGGGGCTCCCGTGGCTTAGAGCTTACGGTGTTCGCCTCTCATTCAAGAGGTGCTGGGTTCATATCCTGATAGCGACGCAAAATTTTCTTCTCTAATTTTTTTTCCTTTCGCATCCTTTCCTGCTTTCTAGCAATGTTCTGTCGACTGCTTTCGTATCCACTTTCTGCCCCCACCCCTCACCTCCTTTGCCCCCTCCCCTGGGCTAATGACCCTTTCTGCAGCCTTTCTACTGCTTCCCCTTGCCTCCTTCTTACAACCACAACCCTGATCTTATAGTAGGTAAGATCTACACCTAAACTTCTCAGACAAGGGCTAAAATTCTCGGAGGTCCTGTATGCAAGTTGCAAACGTTGAAGATCCACAGTTGGTCAAAAAACGATAAGAGTAGGCTTTGGCCGCCACCCGGGCAAAATTAGACATTTCCTATCAACTGAAAATGTTTGGTTTGTCCTGTGCGTTCATATGACCTTATGAAGTTGCGAGCGACGTAAAACATTTACAGCCCCCCCCCCCCCTAAAAAAGACAGACTTTAAATAAAAAAAAGGGGGGGGGGCGACAACTACACCTCCAGTCTGTTGGAGAAACAATGGTGAACAGGTAAACAACAAGATCTACAGTGTTATGCCAAACTGGGCCCACGAAAACCTTCGTGCTTCTCCACAAGGGGTGAAGTTGTGTTTACTCGACTGCGTATTGGAAATACCTTCCTGACCCATAAATACCCCCTGACAGGAGATGAGAAACCCCTTTGTGTCGCATGCGATACAGCTTTTACCATTAGACACGTACGAATAGAATGTCCGGACTTTAGAGAGACCTGCAAGAAATATTACAAGAAATGTACACTTTTAAAAGATTTGTCCTCTGTCGTTGATCCAAACAGAATTCGAGGTCTGATAAAGTAAAACCTGGATTTTTACCCTGACATGTTTATTAACCTTATCATAAAGTGTAATCAAGCCTTGTTGTGAACTGCTGTGAATGCAACAAACTTGTGACTCGCGCCCTCATATGACCGTGCGTAGTTGCGAGCGCCTACTTAACTAAACGAAACATTTCTTAAATTAACTTTCCATCGCGAATGGTTTATGAGTGCTCTGGTGTGGTTTGTATGTATGTATAGTATAAGGTTTTACGGCGCTCGCAACTGCTAAGGTCATATGAGCGCTTTGCATGCTCCTTCTTTCCTATCGAACATCTATCATCGTCCTCATCTCTCCCTTATAACGTTCAAATGTTGAGGTGGAGGTGGGCAGGGAAGAGCTATTTTGCTCACTAAATGATCAAACGATCGCACCTTTTATGTGAATAACAAAGAACAATGATCTAGTGGCCAAGTATGTCATTAATTCATAGCTGTAGTGTAGAGTCATATTTAAAGTTTTGCATTTCGTTTGCAAAAATGAGCGATTCATAGTTTATGCGATTTTTCGCCTTTGTAATATATACCAGCACCTCCTCCCCCCCCGACACCCCCCCCAAAAAGAACCAAACCAAAACATAACAAGAAAAAACTAACCCCCCCCCAAAAAAAAAATTAATTAAACAAAACAAAATAGAAAAATCTGAAGGAAAAATAAACATTGCCTCTAAACCAAAACCATCTGACGACTTTTGGGTGATATTCCGATTCTTCTAAAAAAAATATATATTTACAAAAAGAGAAAAGTTGAAAAATTCAGTACC